TTGTTAGACCAACACCATTAGAAACCTGGAAGCACTGCAATACGGCCGTTTCGTCCTGGCATAGGACTCGTCAGCAGTGTGCATCTATGACTAGTGACTAGCTTCGTGAGGAAATTCTCGGAGTTCTAGGGTCAGAAGACATGACCAGTGGAGTTCAACCCTGTCAAGTGTAGACAGTAACTGCCAAAGACAAGTGGGTGAGGTCGCTCAAAATCCCTAGATCAATCAGAGTTAAACATTAACACCGTTCGATGATTAGGCGTTCGCGCACAATACCGAAGGTCCTAGGTTCGAATCGTGCGAGGTTCAGCAGTCGTGGATGCGCACCGCCACTGATGATGAGTCCTACATCAGGACGAAACAGACGTCTTTCAGTGCTTCCAAGTTTCTAATGGTGGTCTATTACAATCAGACTGATTAAATGATGATTTCAAAACCAAATTCTTCAATAAATTCATGTTATTATGCCATATTTTCATTGAAATTTGTAACTTTTACTGATTATCATAAAACAACAACACCAACTTACTTGTGTAGTTTGATTAATTAACAATAAAGATGATGCACATGAATGGAACATTGAACCAGCCACAGATTTCACTACACCTTCAGCTAATTTCAACAGTGGAATATTCGGTAATTGTTCTCCTTCTTCATTCTCTTTATTGTCGTTGCACTGATAATTTTGATAAGCTGTATTATAAGCCATATTGAATACCAATTGATGTAATATACCAAATATCATGATAGTTAATTGACGATGTGCTGTAGTTAATTCTTTTAGGATGCTGGCAAATGAGAGAATAAAATTGTATATAAAAACAATATGATAGATGAGTTTTTTTTACTATTGCTAACAATTATGAATTCTTGTGAGTTTGCTGTGACCAGGGAGTGAAGTTCAACCATGTCGGGTGTAGACAGTGACCTATGAAACACACAATAGGTGAGAAGGCGTAGAAACCTAAGAGTGAACAAAGTTAGAAATGAACATCTTTGGATGCTAGCTTAATTGTCTAGAGGTTAAGTGTTTGCGCACTGGGCTGAATGCCCTAGTTTCAAATCCTATGGGTAGTAGGTGTCTTGGATGCGCACTGCCAGTGATGAGTCTCGAAATATGAAGAAACGGCCATCCAGTGCTTTCAGGGTTGTTTTTAATGGTGTTCCTACGATGATCGATTCATGATTTCAATGAA